TTCTTTATCATATATATATATATAAAGCGGGCGAGAATTTAAGATACACTCGATCTAACAGAGTATGTTAAGCATTAATTTCTTCATACGCTATTACGTAAAACATATGTTTTTTTTTATAAACTTAATAACTCCCCGAATTATGGAGCGTTTGGAGGGTTGAGTTTCCAAACAATGCGGTTATCAGTGAGCCCGTGATTGTATGCCTTATAATATTCTTTAGATTGTAAAAAACAATGTAATTCATGTAAATATGTACGCGAGGCGACAAAATTAGTACCGTTATTGCTGTATAAAAATTCCGAGATAAAAATCTCTTAAAGGCGTCTCAAAACTTGGCATACCAATACTTTATTACTACTTTATTGACAAGGCATACCAATAAACATAATTAAGGTTTTTGGCTGCGTATACCAACCACGCTTACGCGTCAATGTAATATAAATTGGGCCCGAAAAATCCACACCTGTGTGGCTAAATGCATTCTCAAAAAACTTCTCATTCTCGAAGCGGCAAGCAGGCAAAGCAGACATCATAGGGTAAGTAGGTTTAGGTTTAAGTCCAAAACAGATGTTACACCTATGAATTGGATATCTAACAACGCGGTGAGCTGATAATATCCAATATTAATGATTTCTGATATTTACGCGAACACTACACATTTAAATAAAACTAATTTTACGCGATAATATACGCGATAAAATCCGTAAAATTAGTTTTATTTAAATATCAAACATTTTTTTCGTAATGCAGGAAGTAAATACTGAGTGCTGGCTTGAAAATTCTAATAGGGACGATAATTAATTATAAGATCGACATTATGCCACTTTTTTGGTAGCAATATTGGGTGCTTTTGGGAATCCGATAAAGATGAATAATCTAACCAACCACCTACTCGAAGCAGACCATCCATAATAAATGGCGATAGCCTAATGTTGATGAGCATGGTTGCCCCTTTTTTATATCTTCGGTAAAAGCGATACTTTGCACCAATTTAATGACTGTGATTTACTAAATCTCTATGTCAGACGCTGTTTTAATTCAATTGCTGCGCGATAATTTCTTTAAAAACCTTAAAACATAAACACCGGATCTTAGTTATTTATTCCAATGGGTATTCTTCAATTTCACTAACTGCAAGCGACACAGACTTTTCCTTTGGTAAGCCTATAAGTGTCCGTGCGAACCTTTCTACAGGACATTTACCCGGTAATAAATAAGACTGTATCTGGGAAATAGGGTTAGTAACAAAGGTTTTGAACTTATTGGGTGAAGAACACACCTAACAGATTACGACCACTGAATCTGAAAATGTGTCAATGTTGACTATCGGACGTCCCAATGACAAATTATCGTAAACCTATGGAGCAAAACTAAGGCACATAACTCAAGCCTGGCTAAAGTTATAGTTTTTAACGGGGACACCAGATATTTAGAACTAATGAGGTATTTATAATGAAAGGATTGTTTCCGTTAACAAACTGCGAATATAAAACACACACGTAAGCCTTTTCACTAGCGTCGGCGTCGGCGAGTAGCGACATATGAGTATTTTCATTTAGACCTTTTTTTTTTTTACGTGGGGAAATCCTCATGGATACCTTCCGCTACGGGGGCAACGAAAAGGTTATGCCGGACTCATACCGGCTAAAACCCCACGGTGGTCACCATCAGCGTATAAGAGGGGTCCCGGGATCTCCGTTCGGAACGCAACCGGGGCCCCTCCGTCGCTTTGCTACACCTATATCACGTCCCGGGGACAGTAATTGCTGCCCCCAGCACCCTCGCAGTGCTATCACGATGTCTCGAGACCACTTCCGAGTCATCGTCCTCCTCAGGGGTTACATAGCTAGACGCTCGAGGCCCCCGCCCCGAGCGTCTGCAACCCCGGAGGCCCCGTTTCTGGTAGGGGAACACCGTTTTCAATAGGAGGGCCGTGACGAACGCCTTGGCGACGTCGTCTCCGTGCGGGATCCGCCCTCTCCCGATCCCGCTCAGAAGCCTCCTTCTGAGTCATAACAGATTCACAGAAGGTGGCTACGGCCCTCCACGCCGAATCCCCGCTCAGCATCGCCGACACGACTGCTGGCAGGGAGAGGTCCCGTCCAATGCGGTTCACCAGGATTGTCCGCTCCCGTTCCCACGCTGGGCATACTGCGAGCGTATGAGAAGCGGAGTCCTGGTCCTGTCCACCACAGTGGAAGCAGTTCGCCGTCGCCTCGCGTCCGATCTTACATAGATAATCACCGAAGCACCCATGCCCGGTAATTATCTGTGTAAGTCTGTAGGTGAGTCTTTCTACTCGTCGCTGTATCCAGGCATCGAAGACCGGCAGGATTGCTCCAATGACGCGTTTGTATTCATAGCGCTCCTCGAGTCGAGTGCGCCATGTCGCTAGGGCGTTTTGTCGTTCCTGCCGTTTAACTGATTCGAGCGCCTCTTCTGGCTCGCTACCACCGCTCTGGCGGAGGGCACGGATTCGGTCGTACACCCTCGCGTCCATCTCCGCCAGTATATCTAGTGGTGGAAAGCGAGCCAGGATTGTCGCCGCCTCAAAGGATATGGTGCGGTATCCTCGTACGATCCGTATGGCCATCCTCCGCTGGACACTGTAAATTTTAGTTCTACAGCGTCGGATGGCCAGCCTTTTTGCCCATACAGGCGCTCCATACAGAGCTACGGACCGTATAACTCCTGCATAGAGGCGACGTACTTCCTCCGTCGGTCCCCCTAGATTGGGCAGCAGTCTATGCATAGCACCCGCCACCCTTTCGATCCTGGGGACTAGGCGCTCGAAATGTTCTTCGAAGCCCCAGCGACTGTCAAGGTGGAGGCCTAGGTACTTCATGTACCTCCCCACTCTGACTTCGGACCCACCCACGCGGACGCACGAGTTGGGTGGTTCCCTGCCCCGTGGTAATTTATGGAACCATAGGGCCTCGGTCTTGTGAGGCGCTATTTCTAGACCCAACTCGTGGATTTTGGCGACGACGACTTCCACCCCAAGTTCGGCGAGCTCCTTGGTCCTCTCGAAAGTTATCCCGCTGGCGATCACCAAGGTGTCGTCGGCATAGCACACGATATTTACGCCAGCGGGAAGGTCGACTCGCAGAACCGCATCGTACGCGAGGTTCCACAGTAGTGGTCCCAGCACCGAGCCCTGTGGAACCCCACGTCTAATCTCCCTCCGAATCTTTCTACCATCTTTCGCCATGTACACAATGTACCTGTCGCGCAAGTAGTCCTCAATAGTACCATGCAGGTAGGGGGGCACTTGATGATGTGCCAGTGCCCTCCTGATTGCGTCCCAGGGTAGAGAGTTAAAGGCGTTGACGATATCAAGACTTATCGCCAACGCCACGCCACCCCGTGATACTGTTTGTTCCGACAGGGAGCGGACGCGCATAATCGCATCTACAGTGGAACGCTCCCGTCGGAATCCAAACTGGCTGTCAGCCAAATCGGGACCGACGCGCGACAGATGCCCGCTGAGCCGAGTGGCAACTATCCTCTCGAACAATTTGCCAATCTCGTCCAGCAGGCATATGGGTCGGTACGCAGAGGGAGAATCTGCAGCCCTGCCGTCCTTCTTCAAGAGAACCAGCCTTGCCTCTTTCCAGGCTGTGGGGAATTTGGCACACCGCAGACAGCTGGTAAACAGTTGCCTGAGCCTGTTCCCCAGAGCAGCCAGACTCAGCACTAGGACCCGGCCCGGGATTCCGTCGGGACCCGGTGCTGTGTTCCGGACTTTTAGGCGGCTAATGGCTCGGTCCAGCTCCTCAACGGTCACCCCCATCTCCTCTTGCCACTCCCATGAAGACGGCAGGTGACCTTCGGGACTTGACCGGTCCTCTGGAAAGAGCGTGCTGATTACCCTTTCCAAAAGATCCGGGTCGAGAATCTCCGTCAGAGGGGGTGACCAGGGCCGGAGCTTACCCAGCACCATCCTGTATGGGCGCCACCAGGGATCTTTGTTGAGTCCCTCCAGAAGCTCTTTCCAGGACCGAGACCTGGCGTTGGTGATGGCGATTTGCAACGCCTTTGTAGCCGCTCGGTATGCCCCGTAGAGTCTGGCTATCTCTTCAGGCGGAGCTCGCCGTCTTCTCCTGCGGGCTCTAGTGTACTGGCGCCGACACCGTAAGCAGTACGCTGCTTTGCGCTTAGGGCGACTGATTCTGGGCATCGACAGGTCGCAAATTTGCGCCATCGTACCCCGAAACCAGTTCGCTTCCCCTTCAGGATCGGACTGGACCTCTTCGGCGTTTTCTGGCCAGGACGCGACGATGGCGGCGGCTTCGAGCTTATCTTGATCGAGCCGCTTGAGACACCAACGTCGCGGTGGGCTGCTATCTCGGCGACTGGGATTACTGTCGGGCTGTCGAAGTGCGACATTGAATACGATGTGGCGGTGGTCAAACAAAGTGACCAACTCCTCCGCCACTCGCCAGCCCGACAGCATTTGCATTGCAGGAGGAGTTGCCCACGTAAGATCCACGATGGACTCCCCCTGCCACCGTACACATGTGCTTACGGACCCCTGATTCATCAATCGGAGGTCCAGTCCAGCCGCCCATACCATCACTGTCTCTCCCTTGAGATCGTCTCTAGAGTTGCCCCAAACCCTTGTGTGGGCATTAAAATCTCCCAGAGCGATCAACGGACGAGGTTGACATTCGCGAATACAATTCGCCACCTCGTCTAGGTACGCCTCGTAGTCGGCAAGGGACCTATTAGGAGAGACATAGCAGCCCACTATGGCCAAGGGGCCCCATTGCACTGCAACAAAGCCCTGCCCTCTTCTCAATAGAGCGCAGGGTGGGGCACCCTCTCCACCACTCCAGTAGATGGCGACGGAGCCCGATTCGTCACCGAACCAGCGAGGATGGTCGGGGACGGCATAGGGCTCTGCTACTACTGCAAGGGCAACCCGCCACTCCGCAATGGTTTGCATGAGCAAATGCTACGCATTACGGCAGTGGTTCAGGTTGCCCTGGAGGACTTTAAGGGGTGCGAATTTCTAACTCAGCCACCTCCATAGCCGAGCTAGTACTCGGAGCAGCGACAGAAGTCGTTGTGGCCGCCTTGCTGGTGGGTGCAGAGATCTCACCATTCTTCCTTCCCTTTTTTTTGGGAGGAGGCATACACTTCTTCCCTAATCTGTGGCCAGCAGAATGCCCAAGATCGGAACAGAGGGGACATTTTAGTGCCGACGCAGTACACTGTTTCACCCTATGTCCTTGCTCTCCGCAAGCATAACAACGTGCGCCTCTGTTTGTTTCACTGGAGCACCTGCTGGCAACGTGCCCCCTTTCTAGGCACCGAAAACAGTGCATGGGCCTCATCATCATCATCATCATTACAGCCCTTCACAAGTCCACTGCTGAACATAGGCCTCCCCCAAAGAATGCCACAAAGCACGGTCCTGAGCCACCTGCATCCATCGACTTCCTGCATGTCTTACCAGGTCGTCACTCCATCTCGTGGGGGGACGCCCTACACTTCGCCTACCGGTACGAGGCTGCCACTCGAGAACCTTTCTTCCCCATCGGTTGTCGGTTCTTCGAGCTATATGGCCGGCCCACTGCCACTTCAGCTTACTAATTCGTTGGGCTATGTCGGTTATTCTGGTTCTACTGCGGATATCCTCATTCCTAAGTTTATCACGCAGAGAAACTCCGAGCATAGCCCTCTCCATAGCTCGCTGAGCGACCTTAAGCTTCCTCATACGGCCAGCAGTGAAGGACCACGTCTCAGTTCCGTAAGTCATCACTGGCAACACGCACTGGTTGTACAATTTCGTTTTAAGGTTTTGAGGTATGTCTGACGAGAAGATGTGTCGTAGCTTCCCGAACGCTGCCCAGCCGAGTTGAATTCGTCGATTGACCTCTCGGTCGAAGTTGGACTTACCTAGTCGGACTATTTGTCCCAGGTAAACATACTCGTCAACAACTTCGAGCTTAGTGCTCCCAACAACTACCGGCATAGGTGTGACATGGACATTAAACATAATCTTTGTTTTGTCCATGTTCATCTTAAGACCTATCCGTTGGTAAACACTATTGAGGTCATTGAGCATAGTGCTTAGGCCCTCCAGCGATTCTGCCATAAAGACTATATCGTCGGCAAATCGAAGGTGAGTGATGTACTCGCCATTGATGTTGATACCGTACCCTTTCCAGTCCAGAAGCTTGAAAACGTCTTCCAATGCAGCGGTGAAGAGTTTCGGGGATATGACGTCACCCTGTCTTACACCTCTCTGCAATTGGATAGGTTTCGTACTCTGGTTCTGTACTCGGATAGCCATCGTAGCCCTACTGTACAAGCACTTCAACACTTCGATATACCGACAGTCAACTTGGCACCGCTGAAGGGACTGCAGCACCGCCCAAATTTCGACGGAATCAAAGGCTTTCTCATAGTCCACATACGCCAGACATAGTGGCGAATTGTACTCTTCGGACTTCTGTACAACTTGCCGAAGGGTATGTATGTGGTCTATGGTGCTAAAGCCCTTTCGGAAACCGGCTTGTTCGGGAGGCTGGAAGTCGTCAAGTCTGCGCGCGAGACGATTCGTAATGACTCTCGAAACCAGCACGTAGACGCGGCTCAGAAGGGAAATCGGTCTGTAGTTCTTCAAGAGAGCGTTGTCACCTTTCTTGAAGAACAAGACCACCTCACTTCTGCTCCACGCCTCCGGTGTAATGCCACCATGGAGGACGGAATTAAAGAGCTTCTGAAGGACTTCAAGTACCGGTCTTCCACCCGCTTTCAGAAGCTCCGCTGTAATTCCATCCTCGCCTGGGGTCTTACCGTTTTTAAGGTGCTGCAGAGCCATTCTAATCTCGCTCAGACTGACGTCCGGGATATCTTCGGAATAGTGTCGGATGAGACTCGCTCTTGGATCGTTACTCACACTTGCGTGTGGCTCCAACGATGACGTGTACAGCTGCCCATAGAACCTCTCGATCTCACTCATAATCTCAGGTGTCCCGGAAACGATGCTGCCACATTCTGTCTTCAGCTTTGACAGTTGGCTCTTTCTGGCAGACAGATCTCTGGCAAAGACTTTGGAGCCTTGGTTCCGCTCGATCGCTTCTTTAATACGAGCTGTATTGAAGTTGCGTAAGTCCCGCCGCATGCATTTTGAGATCTGTCTGTTCAGATGCCTGTATGCTGTCAAGTCTGTTGAAGAATGTAGCTTCATCTCCCGTCTAACAGCCATGAGATTAAGAGTGTGATCGGAGAGTTTTTGTGTTCTTCTGCGGCGGGTCTTGCAGAACTTAGCTCCGACCGCATGGAGAGTTTCCACGAGCTTGTCATTCATATCGTCCACTTCATTGCAGTCTTCTAGGCACTGAAAACGGTTTTGTAACTCGAGCTGAAAGGTTTCGGGACTTTGAATTAGAGCACGAGGGGGACGGAGCGTTGACTTCATTAGACGAGACCTCTCCAACTTAACGTTTAGGTTCAGTGTGCCTCTAACCATTCGGTGATCGCTACCAGTTTTCACCCTTGCGATCACGGAGACATCACTGAACAGTTGTCGTCTGGTCGTCATAATGAAGTCAATCTCATTTTTTGTCGAACCGTCGGGGCTCGACCAGGTCCACTTCCTGTGGGGCCGCTTCTGGAAGAAAGAGTTCATCATAAAGAGTCCCTCTTTCTCCATGAAGTCGGCCAGCTGCTGGCCCCTTGGGTTCCGTTGCCCTATTTCAAATTTCCCTACTTTCAGCTCACCGTTCTCTCTTGTGCCTAGTTTTGCATTGAAGTCTCCCATTAACACCGTATATTGGGTTTTGGAGGAATGCATGGCTCTAGAGATATCCTCATACATTTCCTCCACCTCCTGATCGGGGTGTGCCGAGGTTGGTGCGTAAACCTGTATGACCTTCAGCGAATACCGTTTGGTGATTCTGAGTATAAGGTACGCAACCCTCGTCGACACACTCCCGATCTTTACAACGTTGTTAACGAGAGACTTGTGGACGATAAATCCGACACCTCCTTGGGACAGATAGTCGCCCTCCCGGTGATAGAGCAAGTTGCCGGATTCGAGGATTACCGTGTCCTCCCCCTCTCTTCGGACTTCGGATAATCCTATAATATGCCAGCGCAACTTGTCTATCTCTTCTTCCAGCTCCACGATCTTCTCGTCAGTCCTCAGGGTGCGTGCGTTGTACGTTGCCAGGTCGAGTCGTCTAAGGTGGCAACCGAACATCCACCGGAGATTCTTAGCACCCCCTGCCCCGCCGTTACCATGGTCGCCACCGTAGCCAGGAATAGCGGGGCCGCCGGGAACTGGGGGCCGTCTGTTTGTTGCTTTAGTCATTGGGGGGTATTTGCCATAGTTGCCACGCTTGGCGAGCGGGTTGGCAACCGCAGTTTTTTATTATAATTTTGGCTACTATCAGGAAGATGCTGCTGCCCATCTTCTGCCTGTTTCCCTTTGTCGCCTTTTACGACACCCACGGGAGGATATGGGGTAGTGGATATTCTTGACCGCCACTACACGGCATACCGCCACTACACGGCATGGGCCTGGGCTCCAGTAATTCTACTCGAGCAGACCCCCAACCCACGCGCACTCGCCCAACAGCCGTAATCTTGCGGACTGCCTTAACTGGGCACCGCACCCAGCATGTCCCCATGCTAGTGGGATTTCGGCGGATTTCCCCGACTTTTATATCATCCACCGAGCAATCTCCTGCCTCAGCCATAGCCGCCGCAACCTCCAAAGTGCTGACGGCGTCGTCGAGGTCCCTCAGTCGAACATCGCTAGTTTTAACTGGCCGATTGATCCGCACGTTTAGGTCTGAGAGAACCTCACGCATTTTGGCCGCCAGCTTGTCCGCCTTCGCGCCGCAATCCGGACCCTTAATTTCCAGCAGGAGTCCTCCGGTTACTGCCCGCTTCTGGCGGACTGTTTCGATGCCAAAATCTGCCAGGTGTATTTTGGCCTTTGCCTCCTCCATTACTTTGGCATAAGTGACAGTGGAGCTGTCTGACACCGTAACTGTTACGGCCGCAGATGTTGGGGCACGCAATAATTTCTTGTTTTTCCGCCTTTCTTTCGGAGTACCGGAAGGTGATGCCATCGCGGCGATCTGCTTATCGGTGCCCCTTGGTTTTTTGGGCTTTTTAGCCACTTCAACCCACGAAGTGGCATTGTGCGGTACCGGGTTATTCGATACCGTCGCAACCACAGGGGGAAGATCGACCAGCGGTGGGTAGGCAGGCTTCTTTTTCCTCTTCGACCTTTGCCTTTTCGTCTTCTGTGGCTGCGACGATGGAGCCGATTGCAAAGGTGGTGATAGCCGTTGAGGTAGCGATAACTCACCTCGACTCGCACTTGCCAATGGAGGTCGGATCACCCTATCGGGAAATATCTTGGCCTCAAATATTGCCAGCTTTTCTTCGATTAGGGACCCAATGCGCTCCATGAGGTCCCCCTCTCCATGATTGGCCTTGTGGTGTGCTAGCACCGGTCGGTTGGACATGGCTGCTATGTTCGGAGGATGGGTCTTTTGCGTTTCCTGCTTGCGGAGGAGATAAATCTCCTTGGTTAGTTTTTCCGTTTTGGCCGCAAGACTGGCCAGCTGTGATCGCAATTCCTCGTTCTCCTTTTCAAGCCTTTTAATGTTTTCGCTTGTCGTGGTCCTTCGCGTAAGTTCTTCGGTCGCCGCCTTTATATTACGCACAGCTAGCCTTATACCCCTCACGAAATTGCCTTTTAGGTTGCGAGATCTATCTGCTACCTTTTCAACGGCCTGAAGATTTATTTCAATTTGTTGGCCAAGCTCACTGTCACTATGCGTCGACATTTCGCGGGCGAACTCCTCCGGGTCAGGCAGGCTTTTCTTCGCCCTAGTGTTTGTGAGTGTTACGGAGGGGTCGAAAAGATCCTCCTCTGTTTCGATGCCTGTTGCGGCCTCTTCTTCAGAGGCTGTCGCTGATACTGCCGCAAATTTAGCGGCCACAACCGCAGCACTTGGGGGCTTGGCCTTACGCTTTCTTCCCCCTTCCGATGGGGCCGATTTAAGCGATATGGACGAACAATCGGACACGCCTCCATCGCTTACAATCGCCTGATTTGCCGGCGTATTGGGGCGCTTAAAGCGCCCACGCTTTTCTCGTGTCGGCACCGTTGTAACACCCGACACGGCTCCTTCCTTATTACTTTGCCCCTTAGATGTTGCGGGACCCGCGGTTGACGCTTGTGCGTGCAGTCCCGCGATGCAGTGGATTGCCCCCCCCCCCCAGATACGATGGAGCTGCCACAGACCTTATTTAAGCTGCGGGGGGTGGACTCCCCGCTTTTGGCGGGACCACCCTGGGGAATAGATTTTTTGTCGCACTGCATTTTTTGTATCCTTTTTTTTATACAGGGTGAGGTCCCTGAACCCCTAACCCCCCAAAGGCTTGGGACTGGGCTCCCCCCCAGCCATTCATCCCCTTGGCACCTAAGACCTTAGGATTAGGGTTATTTTTGAAGAGGTTTTCTTCCTCGCGGCCTTGCAGGGCCCCCGGGCCCTAGTGGGCTTACGGGTTGTCCGGCATAGGTGCACTTGGCACATCGCCGCACAGAGGTTGCCCGGAATCGGTGCGCTTGGCACATAACCGCGCGGGGTCACCCAGCATTGGTGCGCTTGGCACATCGCCGCGTGTGTTGCATCCCGTGTTCGCTCTAATCAAAGAGCGATACCGGGAGCAACAACAAGCCTGTGAAGGCCCGTCTCTTAGGGTGTTAAGCCCCGGCCGTTTCTGGTCCTATTGGAACCACAGGTACGCCCATACCCGGCCAGTTTTGGTCCGCGGCGGTTTCCCGCTACCACCCATATCTGAGTGGCGTTCCCCTATCCGCCACCTGGGGACGCGCCCGATGGGAGCTCTGGCAACTCCACACGGGATTTTCATTTAGACCTATATGACGTGAAAAATGTAAATGTGAGATTAACGGCAATTCCATAATACATTGCTGTCATATAGTAACAAAATTATCTCGTGGAGTAATGTAGCGTAAAGTACTATTAAACTGATAAATTCTAAAATATCGCACAATCGAGCGGATAAGGAGAGTATAGCAGATTTGTTACAAGTGACCGGTGGCGGCGGGACAAGAAAGGAAAACTTATCGGTAGCGGGCCTAAAACAACGAAGGCCTAAATTTTTAATAAAGTCATCATCATCAAATGATACCGACTCTTGTTGAAGATGTGACGCTGCTATATGTTGTAAAAGCTCCTTGCAGTTACTTGTCCACTTAACCAATTCGAATCCACCTCTGCGAAACATTTGGATTAGTTGAGTGGAGATGTCAACTGCGTTGTTGACGCAAGGTGCGGATAAAACGAGGTTATCCATAAAAATATCCCTTTATTCCACAGACAAAGCAATCGAATAGGACTCCCTTTCGTCAGCGACTAAAAGGAGTAAGTGCGAATTTCGAGGAAAGGAGAAGAGAGTCGGTGAGTGGTAGAAGTTTAAATATCTTCATATTCCTGCTCATCAGGACTTAATGATAAAAATACTCAGTTAGTCAGTAAACAAATAAAAGGACTCAGTTGCCAGATTTGGTAGTAGATGACTAACGAATTTGGCAACTGACCCGTAATGGTCTGAACCACCGATAGCTTAATATGATGATCTTTGTTATCATTAAAGCATGACGTGAAATGCAGTGACATGATACCTAAATATTTTGAAATACACCATAGATCCCGTGTGGTTCAAAACAACTTTTATTAGAAACGGTAAGAAATAGGCGTTTACAAAAATCTTTTGAAATATAATCGCTTTGGGATCCGGGGTCCACTAAACACTGAATAAATTGTTCGTTGTCGTATTTATCTATAACTTTTATTTTTGCAATCCCCAATAAAGTAGTATAGCGTGGGAGATAACAATAATCTTGGAAAATATTTTCGCTATTCCGCCGCATTAGAACTTGAACGACAGAACAATTAACCTTTTAATTGTCAATTGCACGGTCGTTAATCAAATGCGAGCCACATGCATTAGAGTGAAGCGATTGCAAAAGCTCCGATCAATCTGTCAGTTTGAATGTATTGCTACTACGAGGAGCAGTCTTAATGCCATTGTGGTGTGAATTAAACTGAAGTAATGAATGGTGACGACGGCAACATTACGTACACTTGTGCCGCGATTTGCAAAAAGAAGACGAGTGTTTATCTCTCAAACAATTAATATTAAATTAGTCCCCGTTTTGAATAATTATTTAATTTTTCAAATCGAGGACAAACAAGTGTTAATGATCATTTCATTTTTAAAATATACATGAATGCAAAGGATCTATTTTAATAAAGCTTTTACTAATGTAAAAATGATTTTTTTTCGATTATTCATGTTTGTAGACAAAGTATGCGTATTATTAAATGTATGACATAAAGCCCTATTTTGTTCGTATGAAAATTGTACTAACGAGGTATATTTTGGTATGGTAATAGTGCGACATGACATTTCAAATGATTTAACAGTCTCAAGATCTAAGTGCAATATTTAAAAACAAAAAATTTGGTAAGTCATCAATATTTAATGCTTCAGAGCATCAACTGAATCTTCAAATTAGTCCATAAATTATGATAACCGCTTGTTATGTTTGCGTTCACCTGTTTTTAGTCCAATAGTTAGTTAAGCACATTCAAAATATTAAAAATTTTCTGCAATAGGCGCTAACCCGTCGCAAGCCGACAACCCTTTGTCACTTAATTTGTTTACTAATAATAAGCACGTTCAGCATCAGTTAACTGTAAATTATCGACAAATAATGTCTTAAATTGTTGAAAAACCATGGACCATTGGCGTATGTCACCGGTAAATTACATTAGTTCAATTGGCGGTAGTGAAAATTTTAATTTAGTAGAAAAACAATTTTTTAACCTAACCATGGAAATGTGGATAGTTTTTTTTAACTTGACACTTTATAGGACTATTTAAATCCTTAAATGAGTTCCTTGCATTATAATCATTGGTTCCAAGACAGGAAAGAGCAATTACAGATTTACTTGCTTCAAATCAAAATTTCAAAAATTTCTGGAATAACACCAAAAATTAATTGTAAAAATTACGCTTCCTGTGAGTGTCGGCGGTGTACGCGATCATAAGATTGCTAATTTATTCCATTAACCAATATAAGCTACAATTAGTATAAATAGAACTATTCATATAATTTAATAAATACAAAATATATACCTATATGATTTTTAGTAATATAAGAAATCGATATACTACTCTGTCAAGAAAGTACTGGATAAGGAGCAATAATACACAAAATGTTAATTATTCATCCAAGTTTATTTTATCAGCTTCAAAATATTATCCTTCAGAAACGATACACTTTCTCCAACGTATAATATTACCACCAAAACATTTGTTAAATGCTTTTTCCGGAATTGACTTCCGTTCTCGCTACGAATTCTCCTTTATGTCTTTAAAACGGGTGCCACGAAGTGATTATTTGAGTTAAGGAAAAAGAAAGAAGTCATATTTTGCTGGAGTCATATTTGGTGAATAAGGTTGTTGCTCTATGGTATTTGTTGCATTTTCGTTAAAAAGTTCGTTCACAATTATGGCCTTGTGCGAAGGCGTATTATCATGCTGCAAAATCCAAGAAATTTCGCCTGCCGTGGACGGATTGTCCATAAACTTTACAAAAACACACGACATATAATATGTACTATGAATAAAAGAATCAATAAAAGTTTTAACATAAAGCTGTTAATAATAAGAAAAAGTATTTCATAACAATAAAATATTTAGTACTAAAATTTACAATACTTGAGTATTTTATTCAAATTTTAAACAAAAAAACTTAGAATAATGCTCATTATGCAAATAATAATAAATAAACGTCTTAAGAATAATTATATTCATTTAGTAATCGGCAAAACACAAATATTGGATACTGCATTTTAATAGTAACACCCTTGCATCGTGAAGACACCACACGGGTAAC